GGCAGCACAAGGTAGCAAAGGTTTCTGAGCAAATAGCCAGCTGTGGCAAAGAGGTCTGATTAAACAAAACAGCTGGTGTGGTTAGAAATGGGAGTATTTTTAGGCTAGAAGTACATGCAAGTTTTAGTGGATCAATATTGACTTCAGAAAAAAAGGAACGGGTAAGTGATTTAGTGATTACCGATACGGTTCAGTTTTTGTCTTTCTGCTTTCCTTCTCTCGCTTGGTCAAAGGAACCCTCTTCCATAGCATACTCCAATCCCACGCTCCTCTAGCAAACCCATCTTCGTCGCCACCCCCTTGCGGCACAATCTTATAAGTGTTGCCATCTATGACATCTATAAGCGGCACAGTGCATGTGGTTCTGCAGGGTGGCGGGTGGTGGCAGGGAAGATGCGGTTATGTGCAAGGACCCGCGTGGTACACGTGCACCGACCATAGTTCACAGGAGAAGAGGGGGGGAGGGAAAAACGAAAGGGTTTAGACAATTATTCGTTATGGTTCACAGTATGTAAACAGCTCTCTTTACCGATAAGGCTCAGTTTTATGTTTTCGTTTGGACTTTTCCTTGTGGCTTAACGGAATTCGTTTCCATAGCAAACTCCAGTCCCAGGCCCCTCTGGCAAAACCATCTTCATCCCCACCTTGTTGTGGCTCAATGGAATAATCATTCCCATCTATGTAATCTATTAGAGGTACAGTACATGTAGTTCTGAAACATTTATAGAAGGGAAAGAAAGAGCAAAATACAATTTCAGAAATCTGTCTAATCTGAAATTTACACCATTATTTACTATAGAGCAGTTTATATGAAAAGTCACTTCTAAACATATTAAAAAGTGAAGCCTCATTAGAAGAAAAAAGAGTCTTTCTTTGTGTTAAGAGGTTCTGAAAGGAGAAGAGTTAGGTCTGAAATGCTAATAGGTCAATTAATTTATCAGTTCTTTTTCCTTTATGTGTCCTTCTTGATGCTGGTCTTCTAATAAAGCACTGCCTGAGACAACAGAGGAGCCCTTAGCAGGCTAGGGTTCCCACAGTATTCTCATTTCCCATAATTTCTATTCATATCAAATCTTAGGTGTTAACAGGTATGACAAGGTCTAAGCTTTTACTAGTGTAAACAGATTTCCACTGTTCTGTCCTATTCAACTGCACTGCAAATCCAGCCTCTCAGGATAAAAAAACCAGTACTGGTGCTCTGCTAGCAGCAGTCTACAGTATAATTTTTCCTTTTTGATTTGTATTATGATCCTCACTGTGATCTATCATACAGAATATTCACCAAGGAAAAGACATTCTCTTATTATTCTCCCCAAATTTTCCAAATGGGCTTCCAGTGACCAAAACTGAAGCACTTCCACCTTTTTAAGTCAAATTCTATGAGAGAGAAAAACAAGCATGGCAGGGGAAGAAATGCTAAAGTCGTGCTCTTCTTTGAGGCAGAAGAAGCAGCACGCTGCTCGCAGGGGACCACGACTTGGAAGAAGGCTGCCCTCCAGCACTGCGCCTTGGCACCCCTGGTCCTCTTGTAACTTCTCGCTCTGTGGGCGGTGCTGGAGGATGCCTCTAAAGCTGCCTGTTCTTGTGTAAAAAAGTAACACACACTCCATGGAAGCACACCAGCATTACCATTTTTTACCTAGTATCCTGGCCCAAATACATTCTTTAAGCCGAGTCATGACTTTTAAAACACACAAAAAACCCTCTTCAGGAAAGTTCTGGTAGTACAACAGGTTAAAAATAGGTTTTAGGATTAAGAAGTTATTTTATGGGATTAAAGAGTTTAAACAAGTACATGGTTTCCTAAACACACATACCCCCTGACTGCACAAGCTAGGAGTGCAGTAGCACAGAGCAACAACAGCATTTCAACAGCTGGAAGAAATGAAGCCCCTGGGGATCTCCCTCCTCTGTCACCTCTTGCAGACCCCATGCACACAGTGCAAGCATTTCCACCACTGACTCCCAGCAAAGCCTCTGGACTTGTGGCAGAGACAGGCTCGAGCCCTGGCCTCGGATCACTAGAGGCAACACCATGAAGAGCTTCAGAGCAAACATCGAAGACCATATTGCAAGATCAAAGATGAGAAAATTATAAAACTCTTGAGATCACAGGGGCTTTAAATCTCTGTTAAATCAGAACACTTACTACTACTATTCCTCTACCAAAAATCACATTTTTGTTTAGTTATTTTGTTTTATCAGGCTCCTTATTCAGCTAGAGCAGGACATTTTTATAACAGTCCCTCAGATCGTTGCAAAAGACAAGAGATGCCTTATATTTAATCTATACTAAGCAAAATATTTGGTATGACTGTTGAAATAAACTATCCAGAGATTTATTTGCCTGACTATTTTCCTTCCTCCTTACATAGTGTTTATGTTGGGAGATAAAATCATCGTACAGCAAACATTGATATAGTTTGACACAGATACCTACTCATATAGATATAAAACATTTTGACTATAGTTTGAAAAGTGAAGATTGTTACTGTGACTTTTTCTTCCTAAGAGGCCAGAAACTGGAAATAACAGGAGAACATTACCTGTCCTTAGATATAGGAGCTATAAGTGGTGCATACCAATTGATTCCCACCTCACAATGGGCATCAAGGTAAACCAAAACCTTCAAAAGAGAAAAAAAAGTGTCATTTATATTTTTGTATACGAGATCATGATGATTTAACTAAGCTTTTTTACATTTAAATACTTTAATACTACAAACGAAAAAAAAGCTTAAATGAGTAAAATGAATGTCTTTTTAAAACAATATTGATAATACAATACAACATTTCTACACATCTATTTGCACATGGAACAACCACCACATCTCCCCCTAAAAAAGAAGAAAAAAAAAAAGAGAGAATTGTGTGTGAACTGGCTCCTACCTGTCCAAGTTTAGCCTTCTGAGCTCCAATGCTTCTAGCCTGGATTAAACCTTCTCTCCTCTCATTTCGAAATACCTTTACAAGGCCGTTCCACTGTTTAATATACTCATCCAGCCTCTCTTTTAAGTGTGCTATCAAATAGCAAGAAAAAAATATTTTGGTGAGGTAATAATAATAATAAACAGTTTTTTACTCTTAATATAACCCAAATCCAACTCTACTTAAAAACATCTACAGACATTTAGGATTAAGAGAGTCTTTAGTTCAACTGCTCAAACTACTACTCAAAAACACTAAATGTGAAGAGATCAAGACTTGGAGCTCTCTGACTTCATGGCACAGGTTTGTCTCTGGCACACCTGAAAAAAATAGCAGCTGAAGTGATTGGCCACACCACAGGGAAGCTGGGGGGACAATTCCCAGCCACTTCAACATATGATGGAGTGGCTTTCAGGTGTCTGTCTGTATTTCAACCAGGCAGATGAACAGAGAAGTTTCTGTACTTCAGCATAAGGAAATTACCAGACAATATCCCACGTACAGTTGAAGGCACTACTTTTCAGTTAAACTTTGCTCTTCACTCACTTTCTTTTACCCTGATGCTTTTTTGTGTCCATCTGTTAAATATGGAAACTTGGAGACAGAAACCCATCATACTTAAATTATTCTCCTCCCTCACCTAGACTGGTCCCATCTTGGGGTTGGGGCGGTCTTACGCTTATGTCCAATGAAGTTAACAAGAAAAACTGGCAGGCCAGAATTGCAGTGAACGAGCTATGGCGCATTGTACTGGTAAGCAAGTTATAGACCTTACAAAATGAAAAGAGACAGGAAATCCTTAGCCAAAGGGACTTGGTCAGTAAAGTGACGAGTAACCGCACAAGAATCAAAGTGGGCTATGCGCAAATCATTACAGATTTGTATTTGGACATCGCTCTTTGCCAAACTAATCTGGAAAACACATTCCTACCACACAATTTGAAAAAGGATCCCAGTATTGCATAATATTTTTCCTCAGTTATTCTGTTGAGAAGACTCACAAAGGCAGAAGGGCTGGCAGTCAGGCATTTGCTGTTTGAGGCTACACTGATGTAACTACTGGTGTTCATTTAAAATCTATTTTGATACTGAAAGGCTTGAAAGAACTGCCTACCGCTTCAGTTCCTCTCAGTCAGGAACCTAAATAAGCCACCTAAGCTACAGCTGAGGCATCCATGCGCTGGTTTGCACCAGCTCCATGGGGCAGGACGATGCCATGCCTGTGCTGATGTAATGGGAGAGGGGACGTGCTGAGACAGAAGGAGAAGGATGGCCCTTGCAGTGGCAACAAGCCATCAGGTCACTTCAGCAGCAACTGAATTTGAAAGGAAATTTCATTCTGCACCCTAAATGAAAATGGTTGAAGTCTGGAGCTTGCTGCAACTTATGTTTCAGTATGTTTTATATTCTTGCCAACAGTATTAAAAAAAAATCTGGTTTAAACAAAAGCTACATATAAAGAACTGAAACGGAAATGGTGTTTTATGGAAGTGAAGTTTCCAAACTTGAGAATTCAGCAATTCTACCAAAGAATAATGTTCTGAAACCACTATCATTTAATACTCTTACTATCCCTCCTCTTTACCTTTATAAAAGAATAAGTTTTCTCAACTAAAATTTTTATATCTTCTCTTCTGCTTTCACCCACGCATTTACAATTTCTTTTGTAAATCTTTGTGCGTTAGGAAAACTTCAAGGATACATAAATATCAAACCAGAGAAAGAACAATTTTATCACATATGCTGTACAGAATAACATGCCATGTAAAATATATATATATACATATA